ATTAACATCTCTCCACCGTGGCACCCCATTTACAGGCGTGCCACGTTCCAAAGGAGCCCGCTCACTCGACAATACGATGGCTCCTAATTGGCGGATGTCCTCTGATCCACGTGCTCCTCTCTCTGTTTCAACACCCGCGCCTGTACCCGCACGTCCGATTCCCACGGTTTGGCCACGTACGGTGCGAAAGAAGTTCAACGATTCTTCGCGCACTCGGCAGTCTATAGTATATCGCCTTCATCATTTGTCCACGTTTTGAGATGCACGTCATTTGGCTTACGGCCAAGACGCTGCTCAGGAAACCATTTTCTCCCAAAGAAAATTTGCATAAAAAAAGCAACAATGAGCAAAAGGGATATCCGTTCAGTATCCGCTCCCTGCTCATGATTACGACAGCACGTGGGGTGTGTTGTAACAGGATCCCGGTTGCTTAGCGAGCCAGGGCGGAGCGCACAGGCAGCGGTGAGCGGCTGTTGTTAGGCGCTCAAACGCACGCGGTTACCCCGGGGTTGCTGTGTGACACGCAGGCACACTCACTCGACACACACACGGACAGCTCACTTCATCACACGTTCCTTCCTTGATATGTAAAGGACGTTGGAACAAAAGCCTGGCGTGGCACGTTGGAACAAGCGGCCACGTTCGTGAAATCTGCAATTCTCTATGAATATTTTTATTATTTTATTAGTTTCCCTTCTTACGTGACTTTACCGAATGAACCAAGAAAATTAAACAGGTCCCTGCAGGGTGGGCTGGTAGGACAATTCTCTGCGCTGTCTATTGCTGATTTTACACCCAACAGCACGAGATTTGACTTCGTTAAAGTATTGAAAGGGGACGGACGGACGGACACATTAATCTATTGCAGGCTGGTACACTCAGTTTACAACTTCGTTCCTACCAGTATAAGTAATATAGAGTTACGGACCGAGTGAAACATGAACCTGGGACACAGGAAGTTTTCGCGATTTCTGTCAGTGGCGGTGATTTGACTTTGAGTGTCAACAACGTCACCGTCAACATTTTGTGGAAGTGTCCTTTGTTCTTTCCCACAGCCCCCCCCCTCCTCCCCCACCCATTGAATAGAATGTCCAAGTGGACAAAGGCGGTTCATGGTTCATGCGCTTGGTGCTGGCGTAACGAGACGCGACGTGGAGTCTCGGGAGCCGCGAACAATGACCCCCCCCCAGTTGTAGCCGGGGGGCGAGGGGAAAGCACCAATCACGGCGCGCAACGACGGCGCCCCCCCCGCCTGCCCCCCACTTCTTTGTCGCGACGTCAGCGGCACGTGGAGTATGCGGAGACGCGCCACGCAAGGGCGCAAGTGGGGAGAAATAATGGAGGGCAAGGAGGGGGCACCGGGGGGAGGGGGGAGCAGGAGTGGGGGGGGGATGGGGCATTTGGATGGGGAGGAGAAGAATTTAGGGAGGAAAGTAAGCCGAATTATTAATCTATTTTTTTGTTTTACTTTACCAGGTAAGGCCCCACTTGAGCTATACCAGATAGCTCTATTTTTCAGAAGCGGCCTGGCTCTTATAAATGGAAGCTCAACGAAGTGGGCTTGTCATCATCGCCGTCGTGCGGAAATATATAGCGGGAGCCAAATACTATAAACGCGTGATGTTGATTCTAAATGTGGAGGGGGGGGGGGGAAGCGGTGGACCCGGAGAAAAATCCACGCGACCACGTGGAGAACGTGCAAACTCCTCATATACAACAGGCGCCAGGGTCGTGATCGAACCCACGACCTCCTGTATACCAAGCGAGGCAGTTAACATTTCGCCACCGTGGCGAGGAGGAAGCAGAGGGGAGGGAGGGAGATGAGATGAGAGGAGGGAGATTTGAGAAGAGAGACGGCCCGAGGGAAGAGGAAGTGGAGGAAATGAAACGGGGCATTGAGAGCGGAGAGAAGGATGTGGGGGACGAAGGCGACACCAGGGGATAACAGGAGTAGGAGGAGATGGAAGCAGAGAGGGGGGGGGGCATATGAGTAGGAATATAGCCAGAGGAGATGACAAGAGAGTGAAGAAGAGAGAATCGAGCGCGGAAAAGAGAGGGTACAAGGTAGAGGAGAGGAGGGTGTGAGAGCGAACGGATGGAAAGAAGAGAGAGAGCCCTTTACAGATGTCTGCGTAGGTGTCGGTCCCAGTGTGGCGATGTCGTGTATTATTACCTTTCCTGGAAACATGTCTATTCTGGCAGTAAAGGTGTTTGTTGGGGGGGAACTTTGGTTTCCTGTCGATGTTTATTTTTTTATTTTTTACACATTCCACCGAAGATGATAATTGCCATAACAACTCGATTACATACCCACGGACACCACGCCTTGGAACGAGTGGGGGCAAGCTGGACGATGTAATATTAAGCAAGAGTGCACTTTGTGATCAAGGCAGAGCGTTTGACAGGGCTGCTTAGATCAATCACTACCGAACTTTCAGGGAGGGAGGGTGGGTGCCGAGATGAAATAAGCCAATCATGGTAGCCAATTCTCAGCCACAGAGGAAAACTTCAGTGGCCATATTATGGAACCCCTTTTGCTAGTATCAAAGTATACAAAATAAGAATAGCTTTTACCCATTCTGGCAATTAAACAGGAGGTGTTAAGATGTTTAAACACCAAATATATACATGTTTTGCAAGGAATTAAGTCTGCATTAAATACACGGACTTGTGGTGAACATGCAAACCAACATACCAAGGTGTTTTGATGACACCACTCAATCAGCCAGGTTTGTATTTCAAGATGGCTGCCATTTATTCAAGAAAGCCATACAATAATAACCAATATCAACCAAATCCAACTTAATCATGTATAACATCTTCCTTAGCCAAGCTAATATAATACGTGTTCATTTTATTTTAGTCGGTGATTATGCGATGTAAATCTGATAAATCTCAGTACATACAAGAGTGGTGGGTGGCTAAAACTTTTAAGCAATAAGTATATGCCAGTAGAAAAACTAAACTATTTTTTTTGTTACCAGGTAAGGCCTACTGAGCTATGTAGCTTTTTTGCCGAAGTGACCTGGCCACAAATGATTGCTCAACGAAGTGGCTTATCATGTGGAAATTTATAGCAGCCAAATACTCTAAACGTACATTTCAAAATGTGGAGAGAAAACCTGGAAGACCCGGAGAAAAATCCACACCTCCACGGGGAGAATATGCAAACTGCAATTATACAGGCGTCAGGGTCGGGATCGAACCCACGACCAGGCGAGGTTGTTAACATCTCACCATATGGTAGAAGGACAATCACATCACGAAACAAACATCTCCAACCGTGCTCTATATAGATTGGAGTAAGTGTGTGAGTTTCCAGCAGGGTAGGCCCACAGTAATCCACTGCATTCCTCTGCTGGGTGTAAGTTTCAAACAACGCACTCAGATGTGTAGAAAGCACACACACGCGGCCCTCTCGGCATTACACAAAAACCCCACCAGCATTTCCCAAGAAGTACATTGCGGTTCCGCTTGTCTGAGGTCACCATCATCATAAATTTGAGCGAATGCAACCAACTGACAAACAGCGGTGATGCAGTGATATGCAAAACGTGGACCGTTTGGTTATCATTATTATAAATTAGGACTCATCAGCAAAGCATAGCCACCAATGGTCACTGCTGCCAAGGTTTGCTTCTGAAAGCCGCAACTGCAGAGTCCTCAATTTTCACACTTATGGGGCCCATATAGCCATAGCATTGAGGTGGGGACTCCGCATATACGGTTTCCAAGATCCCATTGGTAGTGTGAAAGTGGCATGTTTAGTCAATTGCAATAAACATGAGTGTTTATCTTCTTGTAAGAGGAAACGAGAGAACCCGGGGTTTAAACACAAAAAAACCCCATAAAAGCTGTGCCAGAATCCATTGCTGTGCTGAAACCTCTAGCCAGCCCCAAACACAGCACACCTGCTTCAAGCACTAACCAGGCTTAACCCTGGCATTGTAAACTCCAAATCTATCATCCAGCGGGAGGGGTTTGCGGCGTGATATATTTAGCCTCCCTGGGGATGACAACTTAAAGTGCAGTCCTAGGGATACAAATCTCGCTCCACCCAACTCAATCAAATCGGATCCAGTCTGAAGGGCAGAGGAACGCTGTAGGCTTGACGGAATGTAAGATATATATGCGTGGGAGTGACCAGTCCTCCAATAAATTTTCCGGCAAAACAAAATGATTGTTTTTTTTTATTTTGTCGACGACGTAACTGATGCACGCAACTTCCTTCACGTAGTTTGGACTCATCGCATGGGTACCCACGTGCCCAAAGTGTGTTCTGGACTTACAAGAGACTCGTTTACTCCCTCGAGCTTCGTGCTGGCGATCTTGTAAATGCTACAAGAGGCAAAGCATTATATGCAATGTCTTCTTGTTGCGTTATACCATATTAAGGCACGGTAAACAAATCATGAGCCGCAAAAAAAGTGGGTGTATGCCAAATTAAACTTCCCTGTGTCAGAAGTGCAGATTTTTAGGTACGTTGGTTGCCAATTGCAGCCATTTTGAAATCCAAGTCAGCCATTTTTTAAAATCCAAGATGGTGGCAGAAACTGGCAGAAGTGACCCGAGCATAAAATTAGTAACACAATTTTGTTGCTGGGTCCAAAATGCCCCCCTCTAGTGCCTGACTAGTGCTACTAAGATGGCTTGGAGTGATGGATAAATATAATTTGCTCGCTGTATTGAAGTGGTAGGCCTCAAGTGACTGTTGGGTCATACAAAACGATGACCGTAGGTTTCCCACCCCTGTGCCGTATATACCCTGTGAAACATGCAAATGTTGAGGCCAACGTTGACATGCATACGCATGTGTTGTTGAACGCCTTTCGCCCCCGTGCGTAGCCAACCGTGTTCATCGGAGGTTGGGACCATCAAACCTGTTGGACCAACGACGGCCCAACGTTGGACCAACGTTGAACCAACATTGGGCTCTCATTGGTCCAACGCGCCATTTTGACCGGGCATGTGCATACAGAAACACACGCGCACGCACGAAGCACCTGTAAGTGCACACTTGTTTATTGTGTTCAGCAGCAATGCCCAATGAGTACAATGTGATTTGTCATTTTCCGAGCGACTGTAACTACATAGCGCACACGTCTCCATTTATAATGCACTTCGACTGGTATAGGCATTTTCCAAAGCACACATGTTGACCCTATTACAGTATATATATATGCGCATGGTGCGGTCAAAACGTTTTGAGAATGGGATATGTTGAGTAAATAAATATGAATGGAGGACATTTCTCTTCGATAGTCGCCCAAGTCGTGCAGGATGGCGACAGCTTGGGGAGGGCTTCTTCTAGCAGTGGATCGATCGAGGCTGATCGTGATAGTAGTAGTAGCTAGCCATTGCAATAACAATTATTCGTGAATGAGGTTATGTGGACATATATTGTCTGCTCATTGTTATTTATAGTCTCCATGACGCTTGAACTATAGGAGACACATCTGACAGAGAGGGGCCGTCGCCTATGAATAAATGGCAGTTCAGCAACGTCGGTTCAAACGGACCCGACTTTCTGAAGAGATACTGTGTGTCGAAACCGGTCCAAAGATTGCTTGTGTTGAACCGGTGCTGCTGAGATGGAGGGAAAGATGTGTGAATGAGAAGGCAACGTCTGCTCCTCCGTAATGGGTTGCAGCAGCTCAGTTGTCAAGAATGGCGGAAGTAAAAAATGCGGGGACACAAATTGAAATCCCCATGCCAGGGTAACCCCAGTCCCAACGCATTAACGAACGAACGATCATCATCAACATCATCGTAAAGAACAACCTCACGCCTCTGGGGTCGCTAAAAGACATACCGGATGGTATTCACGGTACGTCAATGGTGGGTAAGGATGGGCTCATCCCGCACGGTGCAAAAAGCGTGGAATTTCCACCCCACTGCCTGAGTACGACGAAACGAGATGATCGATGATCGCTTTTTCCATGGGACGCAATAACGTTTTAATAAAAAAAATAAAAACGTCACTGCACATAAGCTTGGATCAATGCTTGGCACTTGCACCTTTTAGTGGTCGGTGAGTAGTGGATCGCCACCCTCTCCTAACATCCCCCCCACCCCCCGCAGAAAAAAACCCACCGCCGGATATTTCGACCACCTCTCACGATGCGAGGTCACGATTAGCTTCAACGTTTATCGCCTCCTTACCTGCCCTGTCCCATTTGTATTGTCTTGTCGCGTATATTCTGTCCCGCTCGCGCCGTCTCTCGTCTGCGCCGCCTCTCAGCGGCGAAACTTACGACGTGCTGTGTGGACGTCATTTGGAGGGGGGGGGGGGATCTCAGAGGTAGCTCTGTGATATCCGCTTTTGTGCTTCGTTCTCTTAAACACAAAGGGTTTCACTCCGATGCTCGAGTCCTCCGAACGGGATGCTCATGACGTGACGTCGATCGCACAATCGGCATTAGGTTGGGGAGAAATATATTCTGCGAAAACTAAAAAACTCGAGCCTGATTGACCGACTTGATTCGAGCAGGTCAACTCCCTGCGTGTTTAGTGCTCTTCAAGTCGAGGTAAACGTTCAGCAAACACGGCTCCAGTCCAGCGGCCTCCCTAAGTCGCGAGCAACGGGCTCGTGTAACTCGACTGCGCGCAGATTGTCAACAGGGTTACCGACATCGCCAACCCGGCGTGGCTGGCAAAAAGAAAATTACTCGGAGCCCACGTGTCGTCAAAACCAAAATAGCGAAACGCCAACGTGAAAAAGTGAAAATGCGTCCCGACAGACGTGCAGGAGGTGGGGATCAGGCTGTAGGGGTTGTGGTCAGGAGTAGGGCTAGTGCAGGGGGTCTGCAACCTGTGCCCGCTGTGCCGCACGCGGCTCTTCAACGACCGCTTCGTGACATTATTCACGCGCATTGTGGCTCTGGAAATACCAAGGTTATTTTTTTTTTTTTACTAACGAATTCGAAGAAAATGACTGCTCTGTGTTATTTTAGTGACCAAAACCCCTTGGGCAAGTGTTAGGTGCTGGTTGGCTAGCTTGCTGGTATAAAGGGTAGGGGCGGGCTTGTTGTGTCTGTTTGGGAAGTTTGGTTACGGTTACGCTAGTGTTGGCGTCTGGTTGGCTACTTGTGGTTAAGACTAGTGGTAGGTCTCGTGTCTGCTTGGCTACTTTGTACGATCCCCAACAGTTTCCCTTTACTCTCCCGTTGTTCAATAAGGCTTTTTTCACCGCTTGTTCGCTGTTGATGTTGAGCATTCACTGCACCCGACCAGAATAAAACATTAAATTGGTTCAAATATGAATTCCGTTCCGTTCTCAAAACATTTTGACCGTTTTGGCACGTGTGCACGCACGCACGCACACACGCACGACTAAATTAAAATAGTATATTTAAATACCGTTAGTGGTAGTAGTAGTAGTGTTACAGCTGCTGTCTTTGTGAATTATTCGTTTAGGCAGAGTGTACAAAAACATCGTCGGCGTCCTCGCCGCCGTTGCGGTGTCTTGGCTAGAGTCGAGCGTGGGGGTGTGGGGGGGTCCAGAGAAACTCCCGAAGCCTCGTGGGCCGTCATCCCTCACCCCCCCCCCCCCCAGATCTGCTCTCCTCCTCTTGCTGCGAGTGGCAAACGTTTTCATTCACCCCACCTGGTGCGAAGAGAGAGAACGGAACCCGGGTTAAAAACCTTCCCGTGAGCGACGCGAACCGCGAGCTTGAACGATTTCGGTGCCAGATGTACGGGCGGCCGCAATTGCAACCGTGGCTTTGTAAGCGTCAACCTTTTGCCACCGTGGGAGTTTCAATGAGTTCGATTGTAAAGTGTAATGTAATCGAAAGACTGTATTGTCTCGGTGTGCTCTTGGGGTTGTTGTTGTTGTTGCTATTGTCGTTTTTTTGCCCCTGCTACCAGCTTACATATTACCTCGACGAATCTGTGAAAATGTCTATACTCGTGCAATGTGTACTGCCATTCTATACCTATATTTACTATTTGTTGAATTGCTTAACGTGGCTCTAATGTTATCTTCCCAAGGCCATTCTCTAACACGGGGCAATGCAAATTTGCACGAGTTTCAAATGGAAATTTGTTCACCTTACCGTGTGTCGACAATGGCACAATATACATAGAATTTGGTTAAAATAGATAAAAAAAATCCCAAACAGTAAAAATAATTTGGGAGCGAGAACGAGTGGTATTTAAATGAGCCTGTTTTGCATCAGAAGACGGTGGAAGATGGCAATGACTTTGGGAAGGCCTTCATCCAACAGTGGATCATGAGTGATGATGTTGTGCAAGTGAGAAACCCTCTTATTACCTGGGGCTTGGTGTCCTCATTCTCATTGCATCTCTTCCCATCGAGCTCCTGTGTGAAATACAAAGACAAACAACCCCCCCATATAGACATAACAGACTGTTGGGGCAAGTGCTGTTAGCGAGTAGCACCTTATGAAGGCCGGCGCGGCACACGAAGGGATGGGTAGCCAGCACCACGCCCGGCCACCTTTGTCTCCCTCGTGGCGATGTTTTACACATGGCACCAGGTACTCATTTGAGACTGAGTTGACCTAGGAGCGGCCCAGGACCGGTTCAGATAATCGTCTCTGTCGATGGCCGTGAGTAGGGATCGAACTCAGGCGGCTGCCGGGTTCGTAGCGCAGCACGCCGACCGCTACACTTCCACTCCGCTCCGTTAAGTACAAAGATCTGCCGTATAGCCTGAACAGACTGTTGGGGCAAGTGCTGTTAGCGAGCACACACATACACAGACACGTCCATAAAGACAACATCATACAGAGTTATTCATTGATGGATACTCTGCTGATTCCTAACGATCCTCGGCTTATGCTGAAACCAAATCAGACCGGCCATGTTGGACACGGTGTATTGAGAGCATGCTAATACGATGTAATAAGTGTATCGATATGGGCGAGGGAGACAATTATAGGCGTTGCAATACAATTTTAAAACCCCTATTATTTCTCCCTATCAATTGAGTGCTGGGGGGGGGGGGGGGGGGGGGGGGGTTATCCACGAAATAGATCATCTTGCGTAATCGGGGACCCATATTGAAAGGACATTGGGGCCAGTGCGGGATTATCGTAGTAGCAAAAGTAGCTACATATGTAGCTACGGGCCCCGCACTTTAAAGGGCCCCACGTTAAATGCTTTCAAGCTATCAATTCAGGTTCAGTGATTCTGCACTTGCTCTATTACCATAGTACTATACTGCCTTCAACGTTTATGAACGACTGGGTGTTTAAGGTTAGCGATTTGTCGTATTATCTGGCTGTATAGCAAATAAAAAAATACAATTACTTTACTATGCAAGTAAAAAAATAGTGTTTTAATATTTGTGTTTTTTTTTATTTAGGGCCCCTTTATAACATACCTTCATTCGGCACTGATTGGAGCCTGTGCTCATCTCTATATGCAGCCGTGTCTGAGCTGGCGGCGATCATTTATAATTACCACAGTGGGGGGGGGGGGCGGAGGGGGGGGAAATCAGTCAAAAATTATTAAAACTGAAATTAAAAACAGCAAGGGGGATGGTTGTCCAGCTCAGTGGGATTATAATGGCCGTGTCAGAACATTCAGCCAGCACCACTGTGTAAGCCTATGGATTCCAAATCCAGGTTCCAGCCACTCGCGATTAAAAACCATAACGATGAAACAGTCGTTTTTATTTTATTTTACCAGGTAAGCTGCTTTGTAGCTCTTTTTCAGAAGCAACCTGGCCACAACTGACAGCTCAACCAAATGGCTTATCGCGTGGTAATTTAAAGCAGCCAGATACTCTAAAACGTGGAGGGAAAAACTGGAGGACCCGGAGAAAAATCCACGCGATAAGCCATTTGGAGAGAGACATGCAAACTCCAAATATACATGGGTCAGGGGTCCGGATCGAACCCACGACCTACTGCATACCAGACGAGGTGGTTAAACCAGGTTGTCGCTCAGTGAAGTGATGGTCTCAGCCTGCTCATTGGCTAAAAGTCAAGGTAAAGGGGGAAGCCCTGAAGTTACTTGCTTCCGTAACTTCTGGGTTGAAGGCGTAAATGGTTCCTGGAGATCAGCAAGTGGAGAATCTCCTGCTGAAATGAAACTTCTGGCCACCCCAAAGTTGGTTGAACGGGCGCCACGCAGCTGTGACGGAGACTAGACTCCGGATAGGGCATCAGCGGCTGACCTCAGACTCCCCAGTCGAGTGGAATATGCTCCACGGCTAATGAGGCACTGAGCATCACCCAAATAGACGTTTTGATATTCTTAAATAATTATCTCATGGCTCAGAAACAGGAGGAATTCTCCACAATTCTGGCTGTCGCCTAATGAGGGCTGTTTGCAATTACCGCCGATACGTCGTACTCGGATTGTAGGTGTTGTGGGTTTACTCTCCAGCACACAACCGGTTAGTGCTGAACTAGCAACTAATTGGCACGTTTTGTTTACGTGACAAACCTCACTAGTTGGCTGTGTCGGGTGGTGGCGGGTTCAACGACACATTTAAATATTTACGCGATCTAAACCAAACCCCCCTCTTACGAATATAATTGCTCGCGAAAACCGAGCACGCGTTAGCTCATGGCTAAGTTTGCAAGACCTCCCTCGAGATGTACGAGAGCGCCACCTGGTGTCTATGTTGAGAGACACGAAAGAATAAATTGTGGTCGCTCGCATTTGCAGTTGCGCTTCTGCGGCTGTCTGGAACGCTCTTCCTTCTGATGTTAGGAAGCCACTGGGGTCTGCGCACATTTTAAATCACCTAGATTGAAAACGCATTCCTTTAGAATTGCCTTTCGTGTTTAGTTTATTGTCCTTCCTCCGCACCTCCAATGAGCGCGGTTGGCTACGTGCAGCGCAAAATAAGTTCAACAAATGAACCTTATGGCGGGACCCCGGGGTCCCAAACAAAACGGGAGTAAAAATCGCAATTATTTAATTCGTTTTTGGCGACTCCGTCCCACCGCGCACATAAACGCTGCGACCCACCTGGCGCGGATCATTCTGTGGTCATCCAAGCGCACCAAGGATGAATGCTCAGAAGAAACACAACTTTGAAACTTTGATTAGCGCATCGCGTAGAGCTCGTCGAGAGAAATAGATCGCCGTGTCGTTCGCCTTCGACAGACATAAAATGACGTCGCAACGCAGTTTATGCGAGAGCCGGGGGTTTATGGGACCCCGGGGTCCCGCCATAAGGTTCATTTGTGTATGCACTGCTTGTACTTGCCACTACTGGTGGATGGGCCTACAGAAACACATCAATACGGTATTTGGCCTACTCTTCCACAACGGCCAGGCGTTTTGGACGAGGTGGGAGCACCCACGCTCCACCCCAGCGTACGTGATGGTCGTATGCCCATTTGTACTGCGGGGTTGAACATTTCACAATTGTTTCAACTGCCGTGACCGGAGATTCCGGCGATTCCAAGTCCAGTGGCAGCATCCCCTTTGGGGGGGTCGGTGGGGGGGGGCTCTCCTCTGGCTCTCTGGCTGGTGGAGGTTCTTCCTCCAGCGGGGGGGGGGGGGGGGGGGGGGGGGGGGGGGGTAGCGTCTGGGCCTAGGTCACTAATTCTGCATTAACAGTGGGCACAGGAGAATGGGAAAACGGAGCTCACCTCATTCTCTTCTCCCTCTTCATCGTCGTCCTCGTACTGCAACAAAGAGAGACGATGGAATTTAGCTGCGCGGGGAGACGGCGGAGACGCGGGGAGACGTGGGGAGACTGGGGGGGGGGAGATGGGTGAGGCGGGGGAGTCGCCGCTACCAAGCGGCTCGAGTGGCGGCGCCAGTCTGAGATCCGGCACGTCGCAGGCCTCGGTCGGTGAGCTCGCGGAGCGAGAGGGACGGGCACGAGGAGGGAGGCCGGGGACGGGGACGTTGCGAGGGGGAGCCGAGGGAAGGCGTCGTTTGGGGACCGGGGGATGGAGCAAGGTGGCAGCCGAGGAGCTGCCGTCGATGCGGAGCAGCCGACAGAGAGAGAGAAGGGACCGGTGGAGGGGGATCTCGACGCGAGCCGCATCCTCCACTCACGTCGTCGTCGTCGTCGTCGTCGTCATCGTCGTCGTCGTCGTCGAGGGCCTCGCCCGTGAAGTAGAGCACGGCTCGCGGGACGAGGCGGTCGCGGATGAAGTGGCCGACCTCAAAGTCCGTGGCGAGCATCGCCTGGATCAAGAAGTCCTCCTTGTCGCACTCGGTGTCCGACACTGGGAGGGGGGGGGGGGGGATAGCAAAGGAAACACGCCGGGGGTAACGGACGCCAGCGCAGACAGCGTGTAGGTGCATCTGTACGCGGCCCAGAGTGATTTACTACTCGAGCGCAGTGCGGTTGTTACACAATCCCGGTGCGATTCAAATCCGGCACCTCCGATTGGCGCGGTTGGCGACGTACGGTATGGGGCAAGGAACCGCTGGACCAACGTCACCCCAACGTTCCACGTTTACAGGGTAGTTACTCTGTTACCTCATGATGGGCAGTGCTAGCAGGGGGGTGAGATCAGTCACCCGTTACCTCGTGGCGGGCTGAAGAAGTGGAAGAAGGACTCTGCGCGCTCCGTCCTGGTGACGACGCGCACGCTGCCCGTGCTCTTGTGCTTCTGGCGCTTGCGCACGACGCGCTGAGTCACGTCGCGGCCCTCCAGCCACGAGATCTCGCAGCTGCGCGGGCGCCAGCAGCGGCGACGGGCGACGGCCAGTGGCGAGGGGGAAGGAGGGAAGAGCGACGGTCATGCACTCGCACGGATCATCCCCCCCCGGTCGTTTTCTGACACCAGCTCCCCTCCACCGCCACCCCCCTCCCCCCCCCCCCGAAGCCTTAACATACTGTTGGGGTAAGTAAACTAAGCTACAGGGACTCCTCCACTTATGAACAATCGACTTACGAACTTTCAGAGATACGAACAAACCCGGTCCGTACATCCAGTTGCCTGTTCGGACCGAGAGTCGTAAGTTCAACCGCCGCGCAATAGATGGCGGTGGTGGCATCTACATCTGCAGAACGTGAAGAACCAGTGGAATCTACATCTGCAGAACGCGAAGAACCAGTGGCATCTACATCTGCAGAACGCGAAGAACCAGTGGCATCTACATCTGCAGAACGCGAAGAGCCAGTGGCATCTACATCTGCAGAACGCGAAGAGCCAGTGGCATCTACATCTGCAGAACGCGAAGAGCCAGTGGCATCTACATCTGCAGAACGCGAAGAGCCAGTGGCATCTACATCTGCAGAACGCGAAGAACCAGTGGCATCTACATCTGCAGAACGCGAAGAGCCAGTGGCATCTACATCTGCAGAACGTGAAGAACCAGTGGCATCTACATCTGCAGAACGCGAAGAGCCAGTGGCATCTACATCTGCAGAACGCGAAGAACCAGTGGCATCTACATCTGCAGAACGCGAAGAACCAGTGGCATCTACATCTGCAGAACGCGAAGAACCAGTGGCATCTACATTTGCAGAACGTGAAGAACCAGTGACATCTACATCTGCAGAACGCGAAGAACCAGTGGCATCTACATCTGCAGAACGCGAAGAACCAGTGGCATCTACATCTGCAGAACGCGAAGAGCCAGTGGCATCTTCATCAGCAGAACGCGAAGACCAGTGGCATCTACATCTGCAGAACGCGAAGAACCAGTGGCATCTACATCTGCAGAATGTGAAGAACCAGTGGCATCTACATCTGCAGAACGCGAAGAGCCAGTGGCATCTACATCTGCAGAACGCGAAGAACCAGTGGCATCTACATCTGCAGAACGCGAAGAACCAGTGGCATCTGCATCTACGGGAGATTATACAACTTTTGACCTCTGGAACCTAACTCATTCGTAAGTGGAGGAGTCCCTGTATTTATGAAACCATTTTTTATTTTCCCAGGTAAGGCACGCTCAGCTAAATATAACTCTTTTTTCTTTACACCACCTAACTCCGGCGACGAACGCGAGTATACTTACGATACACTAAAACTCATAGATCTCGATAATATCACACGCAGATAATTAACCTATAAATCTAATACTGTTTTTCATTTTACCAGGAAATGGCCACCGAGCTATATGTAGTTTTTTTTTTAGAAGCGACCGGGTGATCATAAATGATAGCTCAACAAAGTGGCTTATCGTCGCCATCACGTGGCAATTCATAGCGGTAGACAAATACTCTGAACACGTGATGGTGATTCTAAGTGTGGAGGGAAAAACCTGGAGGACTCGGGAGGAAAATCCACACGACCACGGACAGAGAGACAGGGTCGGTATCAAACCCACCACCTCCTGTATACCAAGCGAGGTAGTTAACATCTCGCCACCGTACGCACCACTTAGCAGGCGGCCGTTTCGTGTGCCCCATTTTTTAAACGCATCTACTACCGCATAAAGTGAGGAAAAAACTGTACAGTGTATGTGCGGGCAAGGCATGGCTCATAATGGCCATGTCGATGGACTTAACTGGAACCGCCACGGAGATCCTGGGTTCATATTTAATGGTTTTGTTCACAAAACCATTTGTGGCCTTCGGCCAGGAAAGTCACAACATTTGCACATGAACGACGTATTCACGCAAGCACCCGATGCTCCATTTTGAAGTTTTAAAATGAAACATCTCTGAATGTTATGTTTTGAAGTAGAGAATTTTATTTCTTGATTAAAAGCTTATATCATTTTAGATCTGGAAGACTTCATTGAAAAGGACATTTCGTGTGAATTTTATCTCGTCGTTACGTAGATGGCCTTGCTGGGGGTTCTGTTCGATGCGGACTTTCACCTGTTTGGGATTGCGGGATCGAGATAAGGCGACAGAGCTGCTGGCCGTGCGAGAAGATCTCCGCCTGCAGATCGATTCCAACGTAATCGAACGTCTGTCCCTGCGACTTGTTGATTGTGATAGCATATGCGGGGACAATGGCAAATTGTCATCGCCGCAAAACAAATGGCAAGGTCGTGTCGGTGGGGGCCAAGTCGATTCTGGGAATCGATCGATTCCAACGTGATCGAACGTCTGTCCGTGCGCCTCTGTCGTTCAAACCTACGCGCCCCCTGCGTGAAAATGACGGGAAGTGCAGCAGAAAGTTCGAACCGCCCACGAATTAAACTCTTACCACTTGAAAGGGCGGGGCATAGAGGAGGCGGGGGAAAAGTTTCAAATGATTACCGCTAGATGCCTCTCACAGCGCACAAACAGCCCCTAGCCTCAGTCATTCGCAAGACGGTGACCCCGCAACACAAGGGACGTTTTGCGTTCTGCAGTTCAGCAAGACTGAATCCGTAATTGCGGTGCAGCGTGCAGTTCAACGGCGTTTTGGCATTGATCCGCCAATGTCAAAGAGCGTTCGTCGTTGATACCGACGATTTGAGGAAACAGACTGCTGTCAATGTAAGGGGAAGAGCACAGGGCGACCACGCACCTCAGAGGGAAACGTGAGAAGAGAGAGGCGTTTGGGACGAGTTCAACTATCGTCTCTCGATGTTGTCCGTACAGCAGGTGGAGGGCACGTAGAGCGTTTACAAAATGGTTAGTAAAACTTGCTAACTCATTAAACCGTTTGTAACTTTTCGTGTAATTGTAACATGTTGCCATCGTGAAATATACTGCTTTGAAATTGGGTCCATCTTTTTCAAACACCCTGTGTATAGATTTAGGGACCCGTGATTGATCTGTAATTTTCCGGTGCGGTGAATTGACGGCTTCAGCCTGGTCACCAGTTTTTCCCGGGTTCTTTTTTGTGCTCGGTGCATAATTCAGGATATTCCAAGCTCTGAGATGAAATAAGTAGGCTGGATTGTCACGCAACAAACGCTCTTTGCCCGGCACATAGGGGCGCACCGTCTGATCACGCGGGTGAAGAGACCCATTGAAGGCAACTTCAGAGGGAATTATTATGCCGTCATTATCGGAGACGTGATGTCATGTCGCGCTCTGCTCGCTGCGAGAGCTCCTAAATGGGACGGATTCATCTCCACGGCATCCCCACCGATAGCACAAATGGAATATCATTTTGATGATTATTGATTACGTATGACTGTGGCGCTGATAATTATTGATGACGATTGATAGATGATGATAATGGATGATTGATGGATGACCACCTTGGACCGACGATCACACGGTCGGAAGCTCTGCTGCCCTACCCCTGTGTGCCCTCTTCTCCGGGGAATGCCCAAACCGAGCTGAGACTTCAAAAACCGCTTGTGCGGCACATGGGGGCAGACAGGAATCACCCCGCAGGCGGGTCAGTGCGATGTTGTGACGTGGCGCAGAAATATCCCCACTCCCCCCCCCCCCCAACTCCTCCAGGTAACGCACGCGCCGCCATCGCGGGAGTCTGCAATTTGAAAAATTCATTCCGCTAAGAGCTCGGAAACGCTGGCACAGTCCTCGCGAAGCTTTCTGAGCAACAAGGCGGTCATAGCTGCGTCCGGCGTTGTCCGTATTATCACCGCATTACTTGGAGTGTGCCGCAGCGCGTGTTTTATTGACCGGGGGAGGGATGATTCATCGTTGGTTTTTTTTGTGGGGGGGAGGAGACATTCTCTCCCTTGCTCTCACTCTATTCCTCCATCCCCTACACGTTTGTCCGGCTGTCCATGTACTCTCCCCTTGTCCACTTCTTGCCTAGTTGCTTGTTGTCCTTCCCACCGCTCCCCCCCCCCACCACCTCCGATTAGCACGGTTGGCTACGTACGGTGCGAAAGAAGTCCAACAAACATACGTGCATTATCGACCACCGACCTGCCTGTCATTCCCGACTGCCTGCCCAGATTTCTTCCAGTGTGTCTGCTTGTCTATCCGCCCGCCTGTTCTGTCTGCCTATAACCTCATGCCCCCCCCCCCCTTAGCGTTCCGTCTGACTGGCCCCTCTTTGTTTGTGCCTGCCTACATGCCCGTGCACGTCTCGCGGACCCGGCGCACCTCATTGCAAGGCCTCGTGGGCCCCATGACGGCCTCCCTGGTGGCCTTCAGCGAGGCCCCTGTAGTCGGGCCCCCCGGCAATGTACAAAGAGTGAATACCCCGCCCCCCCCTCCTCCATCATCATCGTGCTGCTGTCAAACTCCCCCCCCCTCCCCCAATGGTTTAAAATGTGTGTGAGGCACCTCGCACTGACGATGTCTTATCGGTGAAAGTGCTCCCCCTCCCTCCTCTGAAAATGAGCGACGAACGCCGCTCTCACTTGTGCGCTGCTCCGGGGAGATGTTTTATTTTTCTTCGAAGAAACATATCATAAAATCTAAAATTGAGAAAGGCTTTGGGCGCCGTTCCTTCTGGCTTGACCTTAAAGGATCGACAGCAGCAGACGTCCGAGACAATCCACTGCAGGGGCACCTCCGCACATTAGGGGACCTCGGTCAGAATTTCTAAGTAATTTTAATTATACACATGGGAGGGGGTGTCGTTTTAAAGGAAAATATGGGTTATTTTGTGGAGAAAGGCAATGGTTTGACACTTACAAAAAAAGCTAAAAGTACCATCAACACCATCATCTCAGAGTGGAGTTAACATGGAGGGTGAGCGTGGAGCGAGCGTGGGGTGAGCATGGGGTGAGTGTGGGGTGAGTGTGGGGTGAGTGTAGGGTAAGTGAGGGGTAAATGTGGAGCGAGCATGGGGTGAGTGTGGGGTGAGCGAGGGGTGAGCGAGGGGTGAGCGAGGGGTGAGCGTGGGGTGAGCGAGGGGTGAGCGAGGGGTGAGCGAAGGGTGATCATGGGGTGAGCATGGGGTGAGTGTGGGGTGAGCGTGGGGTGAGCGAGGGGTGAGCGTGGGGTGAGCGTGGAGCGAGTGTGGAGGTGAGCATGGGGTGAGTGTGGGGTGAGCGTGGGGTGAGCATGGGGTGAGTGTGGGGTGAGCGTGGGGTGAGCGAGGAGTGAGCGTGGGGTGAGCGTGGAGCGAGTGTGGAGGTGAGCATGGGGTGAGCGTGGGGTGAGCGTGGAGCGAGTGTGGAGGTGAGCATGGGGTGAGTGTGGGGTGAGCGTGGAGCGAGTGTGGAGGTGAGCGTGGAGGCGAGCGCTGGGCGCTGCACTCACCCTTGGCACGCCACGATCTCGGGGCCGTCGTAGGCGAGGGGCTGCGTGTCGCCGGGCGTCGCCTGCAGTTCGTACGTCTTCCTGAGCGTCGCGTTGGAGAAGAACTCGTTACCTGAGAAGTGGAACTCGAGGGTGAACGACTGGCGTCGTGGGAGAGAGCGGGAGGAGAGTGAGGCGAGAGGGGGGAGGGGGAGAGCGATTGGGAAAGAAAAGAACGCAGATAAGAGGAATGTTCCCTGGACCCGTTACGGGAAGTCAGATGCGTTCCTGATTGAAAAAAAATAAACGCGTTCATCATCGTCGTCGTCACATCATCGCGATCCATGGGGCAGATGGCCAGTAAGTGTCCACTGAACATTGCGTCATGTTTCTTTTCCACTCTCCTCTGTCCACAGTGCCCAACATGGCCTGCGTGGATGAGAAAAAGCTGCGTCGCCCGTCCGCCGAACTCGACTCGCGTCCACGGTTCGCGCGCAGCCACCTCTAAAACTCGGGGATGCGTGAACGACGTGGGGCGCCAAGAGCCCGCGGTGCTACATTGAAAACGCACGCGGTTTTATTTTTTTGTCCGCCGTCAAAGGGGAAGCCATGCCGAATTCGGACCAGAATACCTGCGCGTCGTGAGCGGTCATCACCACGGGGTTGAGCGGTCATCAACACGGGGTTGAGCGGTCATCAACACGGGGTTGAGCGGTCATCAACACGGGGTTGAGCGGTCATCACTACGGGGTTGAGCGGTCATCAACACGGGGTTGAGCGGTCATCAACACGGGGTTGAGCGGTCATCACCACGGGGTTGAGCGGTCATCAAAACGGGGTTGAGCGGTCATCACCACGGGGTTGAGCGGTCATCAACACGAGGTTGAGCGGTCATCAACACGAGGTTGAGCGGTCATCAACACGAGGTTGAGCGGTCATCAACACGGGGTTGAGCGGTCATCACCACGGGGTTGAGCGGTCATCACTACGGGGTTGAGCGGTCATCAACACGAGGTTGAGCGGTCATCAACACGGGGTTGAGCGGTCATCAACACGGGGTTGAGCGGTCATCAACACGGGGTTGAGCGGTCATCAACACGGGGTTGAGCGGTCATCAACACGAGGTTGAGCGGTCATCAACACGGGGTTGAGCGGTCATCACCACGGGGTTGAGCGGTCATCAACACGGGGTTGAGCGGTCATCACCACGGGGTTGAGCGGTCATCAACACGGGGTTGAGCGGTCATCACCACGGGGTTGAGCGGTCATCAACACGGGGTTGAGCGGTCATCACCACGGGGTTGAGCGGTCATCAACACGGGGTAGAGCAGTCATCAACACGGGGTTGAGCGGTCATCACTACGGGGTTGAGCGGTCATCAACACGGGGTTGAGCGGTCATCAACACGGGGTTGAGCGGTCATCACTACGGGGTTGAGCGGTCATCAACACGGGGTTGAGCGGTCATCACCACGGGGTTGAGCGGTCATCACCACGGGGTTGAGCGGTCATCACCACGGGGTTGAGCGGTCATCAACACGAGGTTGAGCGGTCATCACCACGAGGTAGAGCGGTCAGTGCAACGGGGTAGAGCGGTTAGCGCAATGGGGTTGAGCGGTCATCAACAAGGGGTTGAGCGGTCATCACTACGGGGTAGAGCGGTCAGTGCAACGGGGTAGAGCGGTTAGCGCAATGGGGTTGAGCGGTCATCAACACGGGGTTGAGCGGTCATCAACACGGGGTTGAGCGGTCATCAACACGGGGTTGAGCGGTCATCACTACGGGGTTGAGCGATCATCAACACGAGGTTGAGCGGTCATCACTACGGGGTTGAGCGGTCATCAACACGGGGTTGAGCGGTCATCAACACGAGGTTGAGCGGTCATCAACACGGGGTTGAGCAGTCAGCGCTCGGAAAAAAGCACCTCCGTCTATTATCCCACTGATGAATATCGCCCCCCCCCCCCGCCACCGTGAACTGTCTCCAAAACGTCCTTGTGTGCTCGGGGACCCGCAGTGCAAAGTACAATATCCGACTACAAATCAGTTACCCCCCCCTCTCTCTCCTCCTCTCCCATCTGAAGAAGGGCCATTGTCTGAAATGTCAGCTGATTATATATTGTTCCGTCGTAAGTCGTCGTCGTCGATACATCGCAATGGTTCACTGCTCCACTGTGACACGCGCGTGTGTGTAGCTCACACAACACGTGCACAACGCGCGCGCGTGTGTGTAGCTCACACAACACGTGCACAACGCACATTGCGCGCCGCAGGAACAACACGCGTAGAGCCTCGTTGTCGATTTTACTGCCGGGACGAAGGGGCCTCCCCTCCTCCCCCGCCCCCGTGCCGGTCGTGGCTTTCTGTTCGTCCATACTTCACCACGCCGCTCAGTGCGGGTTTGGTGAAGGACGGGTTTCTGACACCGCTCGCTACGGACGACTCAGGCGTGGCTGGGGACTGAACTCGGGTCGCCGGGCGCACACGGTTAGCAGCGTGCAATGCACACGCTCGGAGCGATGTATAATTGTCGTCTACTCAGCCACCGGCTACCTCGAACAATAACCGGGGCTAGTTGCTGTAATTGCCTGCGTTGTGAAATTCCAAACAATTACCCTCACGAATGCCAATAAGTGATTCAATCTATGAAATGAAACTTGTCAGGGACGGAGGGAGACGGAGAGAGGACGGAGAGAGAAAGGAGATGGAAGGGGAGATGGAGGCGGAGATAGAGAGACTGAGCGAGAGAACTGTCATAGGGTTAAGAGATGGAGAGAGAGTGTGCGAGCGAGCGGAGATACCAGGAGGTTGAGAGAGAGAGAGAGAGGGAAATAGAGAGAGGGAGATGGAGCAGTGAAACAGAGTGGAAATAAATGGAGCGAGAGGGGCAAGTGGAGATGAGAGAGAGAGGAAGAGAGGGGAGAGGAGATCGAGAGCGAACATATGGTGATGGAATGAGAGAGTTGGAGAGAGTGGGATTGAGCGAGACAGGCTATTTCTCTGTTGCTCTGCAAATCGGTTTAAGAGAGATGGTTTGTGAGATTTCAAGGAGCGGGATATATATAATGTAATGGAAAGGATAGTGCTAGAGAGACGGATGATCGGGATAAAAATAGAGAATGTAATCCCATGAAAAAATCCCATTAAATACCCCGGATATTTGCAGCAAATCAGGGCTTCACGATGGGCTCATGAGAACACTCATCATTCGTCGTCATCATCATCATAGCCATCAATCGCATCACCATGAATGGCATCATCGTCATCAACGCCATCATGGTGACTACCTGTAAATGACCATCATCATCAGTAGCATCACCATTGTTATCACAATCAGTACAATCCTCACCAGTAGCATCAATATAATTGCCATGTTTGATTTGATCATCATCATCATAATGACCACTCTTATCATTATCATTAGTAGCGTCACCACTGTCATCATCACCATCAATCACATCACTGATTCTCAACATCAGCATAATCATATTTGTCAAATTAATTGATCACGTTCATCGTCGACCTCATCTTAACCTTGCTTATCTTCACCGCCACCGCCGCCACCACCACCACCACCACCTCTCTCCCGCGCACCGATCATCATCATCATCATCAGTGTCCACGCCCCGAGCCACCGCTGGCGTCTCCGCCGTCTCAAGGTTACGTCTCGCGCGCGCCGTGAGTCCCAGCATCACGCCCCTCTCGCTTGCACTCCCCCGCCTTGGCGTTGGCCTCCTTACGGGGAGGAGGGGGTCGGCCGCCTTTAACCACCTCGCTACAGCGCAGTGCCCCGGAGCCCCCCCGCGGCTTGCTGCTCGCGGCGCTGCGACGACGACGACGACGACGACGACTCAACCCCGCGAGGTCGTTGGCTCTCTACCGGACGACGGACGTTAAGAAGTCAGACGACGCTAGGGGCTGCCAATCCCACCAAAGTCACCGAGGGCGTGCCGTGGGAGCAAGAGGAGTATCTCGCAGCGTCAAGAGAAGGCAGAGCTGCACGTGACAAACACAGCTGGTGGGGGGTGGGGGGATGCGGGAGTGTCCCGGGAAGACTGAGAATGATCCTGGGAAAAGCAGGACAGTTGGCAACCCGAGGGTGTCGTGTGGCTAGCATGGGACCCCGGTGGCAAGAAATTAAATGCACCCCTACCCCGCCTTTCCCATGTACACCTCGCCCCTCTATCTTTGTAACCCAGTGCCTGGGCCCTAATGGCTATTTAGCCCCGGTGCGGTTGCACCACCCGTACACACGCCAGCTACGACCACCGATGTTAAGCACGGCGAGGGTTGCCTCGATTATTTTTATTGCATTCCCAAATTTGAGAGATTTGGAGTTGCGTGTTCAATTCCAGAGTACACGTACACATGCACGCTGGAATTCGGTCATGGGGGCTACGTTGAGCATTACTTCAATCAGCTGGCCAGGCACGGGGGCATAGAAGTACGGCACAACCTTGGATGTTGCTGCCTTTCCCGCTGCTGTCTGCCACGTGACCCCCACAATTTCAGAAGGACGGACACCACATAATAGTATAAAAACTGGATTGTAATTCCAAGTGTGTCCAGACTGATAAACAATCCATTCGGTCAACAGTGGCTTGCGCAACAAAGTTTCGACCTTAAGAAAAACATCAACTGAAGTACCTTAAAAACTCTTGAGACATCACGATAATAGGCAATCATTCGTCCCTTCGTTATTGGTGGATGAGAGAACAAACAGAAGCCCCAAAGCCTCTCCCATCGGACACCCTGGAACATGAACCGGACTTTTAAACGCAGGGAGTCACGGAGCGAGACGCGATTTTTCGAATGGGATGTTTCCAATGCTGTAGCCACGCCGTTTTCCATCGCGCGAATCATGGCTCATGCCACTCGGTGACCATCATCAGCATCGGCCGTGATCTTTCCAGGGACGGCGAATTGAAATTCCAGTTTGTCATCTTCTGAATCGATCGACTTCCATCGAATGCGGTGCCAGAGGCAGCGGTTAGTTCCGTTATGTATAGCAAAGGGACAGCTATAATATCAATCAGCTACATTATATATATGAAACAAATTGGGCTGTGTTCATTATCGGGCTCAATCCATCAGGCATTTCTTTGGCCACCGTTCTGCCGTGTTTTGCCAGCGACGACCTTGTTTGCGTGCGTGCGGAAAGT